GTTAACAATAGGTATTAATTAGGTGTCAACGATAGCCATGTTTTGTGAGTATGAGTCACCTGTGAACGATAGCCATGTGATGTGAGTATCAGTCACATGGAGGCAGGACTCAAAAACCTGAATTTTGCCTGAAACTCTCAGACTGAAGAAGTCTCTTGGAGGAGAGATGAAACGTTTCGTTAGAGAAGAACCCGTCCAGAAGACTTACACAATTTTTTTCTTTTTGATTTTTTACCTGGATTACTGAGATGCATCAGGACATATTGAATGTATACTTTGTACAGTTAATGTGTTATTTTTGCTTTCTTTTTATTTTTGCTTTCTCTGTCTGATAATGGATGTACAGCACCTTGTGAAATCCTTTTCTGTGAAAGGCGCTATAKAAATAAACTTTTACTTACTTACTTGATGAGAAGAAGAACTGGATCAACAAGTTTTAACATCACATTCAGGAAATGAAAGTGAAAGTGTTTGTGTGTCGGAGCAGAGCTGCAGCTGAAACAAACGTCTAAAGAAAAAATAATCTGAATTGATTTTTTCTTTGCTAACATCTGATTCTAATCCAGGTGAGTTCAGATGATTGTTTTTGACAGTTTCTACAGGCAGCTTTAACACAAAACTCAGAGTTTCAGTCAAACAGGAAGTTCCTCTTTTCTCTTCTTTCTGACTTTTGAACCGTTGTTGATTCTTTGACTCTCAGAGTTCAAACATGTCTGCTGGCAGCAACCTGAGGTCTGAGGTTCAGTTCCTGTGCTCCATCTGTCTGGACCTGTTCACTGATCCGGTCAGCACCTTATGTGGACACAACTTCTGTAAAAGCTGCATCAGCCAACACTGGAGCAGTAATGTTCTGTATTACTGTCCTCTGTGTAAAGAAGAGTTCAACACCAGACCTCAGCTCAGAATCAACACTTTATTTAAACAGGTGGTTGATCAGTTCAGACATGAAGCTCAGCWGAAAAGCAGCAGCAGCTCAGAGCAACAAGCTGCAGAACCAGGAGAAGTTCTCTGTGACGTCTGCACTGGAACCAAACTGAAGGCCCTGAAGTCCTGCCTGGTGTGTCTGCTCTCCTACTGTCAGACTCACCTGGAGACTCATCTGACAGCTCCACGTCTGAAAAGACATCAGCTGCTGGATCCTGTGGAGAACCTGGAGGACAGGATGTGTTCCAAGCACGATAAACCTCTGGAGCTGTTCTGTAAGACCGACCAGACCTGTGTCTGCTCCCTCTGTTCTGTTCTGGACCACAAGACTCATGAGTTTGTTCCTCTGAMRGAAGAATATGAAGCAAAGAAGGCAGAGCTGAGGAACACAGAGGCTGAAGTTCAGCAGATGATCCAGAACAGACGGCTGAAGATCCAGGAAATCAAAGAGTCGCTGAAGGTCAGTAAAGCTGCTGCAGACAGAGAGAAAGCAGAAGGTCTTCAGGTCTTCACTGATCTGATGGACTCTGTGGAGAGGAGCAAGAAGAGCTTCATGAAGGAGGTGGAAGACAAACAGAAAACTACAGAGAAACAGKCTGAAGACTTCATCAAAGACCTGGAACAGGAGATCTCTGAGCTGATGAAGAGGAGCTCTGAGGTCAAGCAGCTCTCACGCTCTGAAGACCACCTCCACCTCCTCCAGAGCTTCAGCTCCCTGAAAGCTGCTCCACCCACCAAGAACTGGACCCAGGTCACAGTTGATCCTCCATCATATGAGGGGACTGTGGTGAGAGCTGTGGCTCAGCTGGAGGAGGACCTCAGGATGAAGATGAAGAAGATGATGGAGGCTGAGCTGAAGAGGGTCCAGAGGTTTGAGGTGGATCTGACTCTGGATCCTAAAACTGCTCATCCTAAACTCGTCCTGTCTGATGATGGAAAACAAGTCCACTGTGGTGATGTGATGAAGAATCTTCCAGACGACCCAAGGAGATTTACTAAGTACTCTGTTGTTTTATCAAATCAGAGTTTCTCTTCAGGCAGATTTTACTTTCAGGTTCAGGTTAAAGGAAAAACTGAATGGATTTTAGGAGTGGTCAGAAAGTCCATCAACAGGAAGAAAGTGATCACATTATGGAATCCTCAAAAAGGTTTCTGGACTCTTCGGTTGAGAAATGGAAATGAGTACAAAGCTAATGCTGATCCTCCAGTCCGTCTCAGTCTTCAGTCTGGTCCTGAGAAGGTGGGGGTGTTTGTGGATTATCAGGAGGGTCTGGTCTCCTTTTATGATGTTGATGCTGCAGCTCTGATCTACTCCTTCACTGGCTGCTGCTTCACTGAACAACTCTACCCATTCTTCTGTCCTGGTTCTAATGATGGAGGTGAAAACGCAGCTCCTCTGACCATCTGTCCTGTCAGTCAATCAGCCTGATGAAGCTTCATGAACAAAGAATCTGTTTGTTCAAAAGTTGCTCAGCTGGATTTATTTCTTTTCTCTACATTTATTTAATTGGTTTTAATCACAAATTCAAAATGTCATCATTACTTATAACTTTTGTATTTGTAGTTTTTCTCTCAAATGAAAAAAGCTTCTAGTTTAGAATAAAACTTCAGACTAAAATGGTTTGTGATAAATTTGCTGACAAAGGAACTTAGATTGACAACAAGCCCAATTAGATCTGTCACAAAATTCATATTATTTGTTAAGTTCATTTAACAATCATATAAAGCAGATGATATAAAAATAGTTTATGAGTAAAAAAGATCTAAACTAGATTTTGACTAAGTTTTGTGCACATTTACAATGGAAACACAGCTACTGTGTAAAGTAATATTTTATATTTACCGTATTTATTCATGTATAATACGATCTCAAGTATAATACAATAATCATTTTTGAGCTTAAAAAGCATTAAAGAAATCTAATCACCAATAACCCGTGTATAATACAACCCCCCTACTTTATGGATGATTTTTAGGCAGGTCAGTTAATTAAAAGCTATTTAAAACAAGCTAGTTAGTTTAACTAGTTTGATGTCAGGGACTTAAAATAATAATGCCCAAAATAATAAAATTATGTCCAAGAAAAAAATAAAATAAAATATGGTCTATCAGTTTTTAAGCATTATTTCTCTAATATAAAAGTTTACTGTAAGTTCTTGTATTTTTTTTTTTTTTTTTGGTCAAAGGTCAGAAGTGGGCAATAAAGTTTTTTCGAATGGAGCACTTTGTGAAGTGCTACTTTAACATTCTGACAACAAAACAAGATAATTTATTAACTTTTTAAAAAATAAGCTGCTGCCTAAAATATCCTACATATCATTGTAAAAAATGCCTATATTCTGCTGAAAGAACTGTAGAAAAGATGAAAAGAAATATGAAAACTGCTGAGTCATAATGGTCACCATGGTAACCACACACCTGCGTCTGTCACTCCCTGACTGCATTAACGAGAGGCAGAAAAGTAAAGTAAGCCTCAAACAAACAGTTTCTGTGTTGTTTCTATTTTTAACCCGTGATAAGCAGATGACACTGACAGTCACACATGTTTATTTGTTAAAAAAGGTAAAAAATAAAATAAAAATCTTAAAACTTAAACTACAATTGATTAAAAAACAAAATATATCAAGTCCAATTGTCTTTGACTTGTTTAAACCTCTAATGATGTGAAGTCTGCCAGACATAAAGAGCTCCAAAGAGGACTGAGTTTTCTCACCTGTTTTAACAAAATCCCATCGAATTTAATTGTTTTCCCACACAGTTTATTTATTTTTATCATATTAGGTATTTGTTGTGCAATCTACCTCTACTGTAAGTCATTACTGGGTATTCCTGATTAAGCTACACCTTTTGGTATTTAAACTGCATTTTTCTTATAAAGCCATGTAAAAATAATAAGGGTGCCTCAGTGCTTATGCATTTGCATTCTTAAAAAAATTGTAATTGAAATCAGTAAAGCAGATTTGCATGTTGTAAAGTTAACCTAAACAATGCAAGTGCTTACAATGTTAAACATGCTACACAGCATTGTAGCGTTTTCCTGCATATAAATAATCATTTCTGATTAGATTTCACTTGTTCCTATGACTGCTCAGAGAAAGGAAGAAACTTCCACTTTAACTTCAGACTATTTTTAAGGATTTTGCATGGAACTTCCTTTGTGGCTCTAATTAACATCTCTCACACAAACCCCCAACAGACTTCCTGACGCCTTGATGTTAATAGATAAGAATTGCCACATTCCTGTTCCGAACCTCCACAAGTTGGAGTGACCATAAGGACTGTCTGTTGGTTCCTCTTCAAACGGGGGCCATAATGCCTTTAATCAGACTCTTCAGTGACTGAGAACAACGGAACCTACATTTTTCATTAAATGTGAAAAAAAGAGAACAAGATTGAATGTTTTTATACAACTGTCTGTTTTCATATATCTTAATCAAAGAAATGTGATTTACCTGTTTCTTTTTACAGAAAGAATTGAAGCTACTGTGTTCTCTTTTTAACTGTTTGCCCACTAAGGACTGTGTGGTAACTGTGTATTGCGTAATTGTTTTGATGAAGAAGATGTTTCCTTTTATTTCATGATTTTAAACAGTGTGTGTTTTATTCCATGACTTAATCCATAGAAACCTTAGGACTTGAGTTTTTAATTAAAAGTGTGACACTCTTATTTTACTGAGGCAAGCAGATGTCTCTCCCTTTAATTAGATGCAAGATAATTAAACTAAAACACTCCCTTTTTCTTTGTCCTGAAGTAAAGTTTTCCCCCCAAAACAGATTTGATTTGTTAAAAAACTTTTCCTGTATAAGGTGTAACATTTTTATTGGCCAACTAAAACCTTGACTCCGCCCATAACAGAGGTTTTAAAAAGCTTAGCGCACTCCCAATCTCTAAGAAGACGAATAAGACAAAGCAGAAGAAGACCGAGAGAGAAAGAGAGTTTTTCAACATCAGAAGCCAGAAACAGCTTTCCAGAAGCTCAGCAGAGGCCCTTCCTGCCAGCCCCTCCCCATGGGGTGGGCAGGATGGTGGTCCTTCTGCATCTCCCGCTGGTTGAACGAACAGCTACCGTTTAATATCGACTCAACATAGAAGTTAAATAAGCTAACTGTAATTCATGCATCGTTTTAGTTCGTTTTCTCTACAAAGTTGAAATCAAATTAAGAAGTCTTGCAGCCGCCTGGGAGGATCGGACCCCTTGTCATCAGTTCATTACACACCTTTCTGACTGAAGGACCAGCAGCTGAACAGACACCCTGAGTGTCCAACCGGCCACTACACTGAAGCAGTTCTTTGGGGAACATCACCTGAGATCCTTCGGTCAGCCGACGCCAACTTCTGGTAACACCATCAGCAGAACAAAAGGGTAAAAGTGAACATTTGTCCTGGTGACAAACAGGTGCTCAGACTAATTTGATTTTTATCTTTGTATGAGATTTGGTAAACTAAATGATTTTTCTCCCTAATTTAACTAGGACCCCTTAGTTAAATCCTCAGCTAAAAGCAAACTCACCTCACCTCATTCCAAGCCTCAAACTCACCTCAGTGTTTGTTTTACATGTATTTGTTGTTTGTCTTTTTGTTTGTTTACTCACTTGTGATTGCAAACTCTTTCAGTTTCTACATGGTTCAATTATGTCATCACTCATTACTCGCCATAGTTGTAAATACATTTAATCTGTAAATAAATGGCCCGTGGGGAACATGCCAACATAAGCTAATCTCATTTTTGTGTCTTGATAAAGTATTACTGGTTCTGATAAGACAAGAACTCATCAAACCATTTTGGGTACATTTATTGTGAGACTGATTACAATAAAGTTACAGGTTTTCATCTCTTTCCTGGGTTATTCCTTGACCAAATTAAGAGCATGGTGCCTCGAGGTAAGATAATTTGTGTATTTAAATAATTCACAAATTATCCATTTTAGAATATACCCAAACCCCCTACAGCATAAACTTAAGGTTCAATAACAATCATTACTGTTGTGGAATACTTATTATGTATCACCTTGACACTGTCCAATTGTTCATATCTTATGATATCGTCTGAACGTCATCTTCAAGCTGACCTACTTCATGTACCAGAACGAGGCAGATTCTGATTGGTTGTTCATTATCACATGATGATAGCTGACAGTATAACATTGCTTGCCCGGCCGATGACAGCCGGGCCCACATCTTACAGACTTCGTGATTGTTCTCTGTTTCATGTCTGCCCATCAATAAATGACTTTATAATCATACCCGCAAGACTTGTCTTTTAAACACCCTTTTCGCCG